CAGAGTCTTCCTCAGCCTCCAGGGCAGTCCCATAGTGTTCATCGCTGTCAGATTCCACCAACATTTCAGCCGGCCGCTGTTAGGACACAACAAATAGATGGAATGTGGAAGTCCATATTTGATTGAATTCATCTTATGAAAATTGTTCACAGATGCTAGAAGAAACAAATGTTGGAAGGTGGAAGAAAGACTAAACTTCAGACAAGCTAACAATATCATTTTGGTCCATCATTGAGGGAGACTTAAGAAATCTGTTGTTAAAAGTGAAAGAGAGCTGTCCTATTGCTCGGCATTAAAAAAAAAACTCCTACCAATCTGCCAATTGCTTGTAATTGACCTATGCAAACTGCTGAAAAAGCTAGCCAAAGCAATAGCACACATTATCTTCCTGGGTTCAAGAATCTACAGGGTGGTGATTGTCTCCATGAAACAGAGGGACCTATTTCTTGGAAGAAATACTGACAAATCTAAGCAAAATTTTAAAATATAGATTGTCTATTTGGTCACAAACAGGTGGAAGCAACAGAACAATATCAGAAAAAAACAGAGTCCAAATGGGCAACCTCCAGATGCCTTGGCCATGAAGTCCAATAATTTCAAGACCTTTGGGGATTATGCAGAAGAGTATCTGATGTGTTTGAAAAGTACCAGGGTGCAATGCTTTCATTAGTGAAGCAGAATTATATATTGTATCTTTTTTCCAGGGTAAAATGTATTCACACTAGAATAAATAAAAACTAATTTGGGTAAACTGATTTGGATTAAATACCAATTACCTTGAAGTATAAGTCAGTTCAAGGTTTATAAGAGAGAGAACCAAAGGTTCATAATTGTTCATTCTTGTATCTGTTTACTTCCAGATTTAATCCATGTTTGACAATTGGCCCTCTTTGCTTTCATTTTTTTAATCAAATATTTATATATTTTTTTCTTTAGGCAACAAAACTTAAGAAAAGTTTAAGAAGTAAGTGCATTTGTGTTTCTACTTTCTTGTGATCCATTAAGTATTAGCTTCACAGGTTGCTCCAATGGAAGGTGTGATGTCATTGGAAGCCAGTTTCAAGAGATTGCATCCCATTAAGATCAATTGAGTTCACTGAATGAAAGACAGGCATTTCTCAATAGTAGTTACATAATACAAAAATAGCACCATCCTGGTGAATTGTATTTCCAAATACACTAATAAACATGGAATGTTTTTTTTCCTTAGCAGTATTTTAATTGATGCATTTAATTAAATTCTTCTAGTTATTATGAAGATCAAAAATGATCCATAGGGGAGGCTGCACAAACTCAAATTTTGAGAAGTGAAAGCCAGAGAGGGCAGGACCAGTGGTGGATTCCTACTGGTTTGGACCGGTTTGGCCGGACCAGTAGTAGCTTGGCAACCTGGGTCACTGGAACTGGCAGCGACCGAGGCCTGCCATGCCCCCAAACCGGTTCTCCCGGTGGCGCCATAGGCACCCCCATCTTATTCTTTGCTTCTGCGCATGCGCAGAGCAATTTTAGTTGTACTATGTATGCACGTGCATCACACACGTGCAGCACGCACGCATGCGGGGCGCATCCCTGAGCAAACCGGCAGTAATATCTGCCGGAACCCACCCCTGAGCAGGACCATATGCTTATGAGCAGAGATAGATGGGGAAAACTGGGCTTTCTTTGATTTTTTTTAAAGAACTAAATCAAACTAAATTTTAGGACTTGCACTGCAATGTTCTGTACCTCAGAATATCAGAAAATTATGCCACCAATTTGTACAGGTTGTGCTTGGAAGGGAATTTAGGACCTCCAGAAGGGACTTTGAAGGATTAGGGACAGTCAAATTGCTCTCTTGTTATTTTCATCTCTATGCAAAGTGCTCATTCTGCCATGTTTTGATTTGATGACTCATGGAATTACATGTGAGCTAGTTTGGTGTAGTGATTAAAGCACCAGGCTGCTGTGAGTTCTAGTCCCACCAGTCTCTCTTTGTCAGCCATAGCAAGGAGGCAAAGGCAAATCACTTCCAAAAATGCTGCCACAGAAACTATACAGGTAGTCCTTGACTTACAACAGTTCATTTAGTGCCCATTCAACGTTACAGTAGCACTGAAAAAGTGACCTAAGACCATTTTTCACATTTATGATCCGGTGCAGCTTGCCCCATGGTCACATGATCAAAATCCAGATGCTTGGCAACTGACTACCGTGTTTCCCCGAAAATAAGACAGGGTCTTATTTTCTTTTTACCCCTGAAATAAGCAATTGACCTTATTTTTGAGAAGGTTTTATTATTTTTGAGGTGCAGGAGGCGGCGAGCGTGGTGAACTCATGGCTGCTGCTGTGTTGCAATATTTTCAGGGAGGGCTTATTTTAGTGCATGAGCTCAAAAGCCTGATTGGCTTTATTATCTGGTGAGGTCTTATTTTCAGGGAAACAGGGTATTTATGAGGGTTCCTGCAACTCTCCTAGGTGTCCTGGGGTCATGTGATCACCCTTTGAAACCTTCTGACAAGCTAAGTCAATGGGGAATCCAGAGTCATTTAACAACTATGTTACTAACTGAATAATTGTGGTGATTCACTTAACAATTATGGCACGAAAAGTCATTAAATGAGTCAAAGCTCATTTAACTGTCTCACTTAGCAACATAAATTTTGGGTTCAATTGGGGTCTTAAGTTGAGGGCTACTTTCACTGACTTCTCCAGGCACTTGCCTAGAGTGGAGACTGACTGAAAGGTACAAACGAAAATGTTTTATCTTATGTATGCTTTGTTATTAAAGTTTTGATTT